GGATCATTATCGACCGCTCCATATCTACCACCTAGCCCATAAGTATAGACTTATGCACCCGGTGTCCGGACGGTGATCTGTGCTCCTACCTCTCTCTCTCTCTCTCTCTCTCTCTCCTCCCCCTTTTTTCTTTCTCTGGCCCGTACACGCGATGCACGCGCGTGCACATACACGAGAATGCGTGCATGAAGACACGCATCGAAACGAGTAGGAGGGAGGGAAATGCAATGGGGGCACGTACCGGCTAACGACTCGTTGGTACGGCTCTCTGATCAAATAACTGCGGCAACCGGGGTAACTTTCTAAAGGGCCCTCGCTTTCGCCAGCATCCGTTTCCACGGAGGGCGATGACAGTGGCGTAAGCAAATGAGCGATGTTGATAAATTCGGTAATATCTCACTTTCCTCTGCCAAATTGCCTTTAAATTTGTTCATTTTTCTTTAAACTGATTTTTACGCTAAACAAAGTTGCGAAAATGCGGATCATAATTTATTCGGTTTTTGAAAAGTAATATTATATATAAAATCCATAAAATTTTAATGCAGATAAAATTGTTAGTTACAGGAGGTACGCATAGCAATAAGTATACATACGCTGGCTGCGTACCGGAAGCGACCGGCTATACCGCAGCTGATCGATTAAAGGATGTAGTGCGGTAATTATCGTTATGCGGTGATCTATAGGCTCTAAAACATGAACTGTAACTGTATGCTTTTATTGAGAAAAAAAGATAAATTTTTTAATGTCATGCTGGAGTTTACAAGTTTGTATACAGATTATTGTCAGATCCAACATTCTAATCTTAGAATTAGATAACTATCCATGCGAAAAATGTTGACAATTAATAATTTGTCTTCGAATTCTGTCGAGATCTTTACGGAAGATTAATTTTAAGAAAAATGGTGCTTCTTAATAAATTTATAAAAAAATATAAACTATATTTGCGTCGATCGTTCGTAAAAGGAAAGCCGTTTTTGCAACTTTATTTAGCGTATAGAAGTAAAGCAAAACAAAAATAAGGAAACATTGATCGCGAGGAACGTAATGAGATTAGTTAATTGCAGAGGAGAATGTGTATTGTGTGCCGGAAATGCCTGATTATATAATCATTTGATCTATTAATAGATATCACGGCGCAATTATCATTACGCAGTGATTTATTGTCCATAAACTGAGATTGTACCGCGATATTTAGTTACACATACCTCTACTCGAGGACTGAAGAAAATTACTTTATTTGATATACATTCGCGGTTTAATGAAATTATTTCCTACTGTATAAATAAGCAATCACAAAGCTAACACCTCACGTACTGAAAATTATTTGACGTCAGAATCGTCCTTTGGAATGCCGTTGAAATTTGATCGCGAACTCGTCAGTTCGTGCAATGTGATCACAAAAGGGGGACTAAATTTTCACTTGAGCGATAATCGTCTATCTCGAAGAATGCCTCGACATCTTTTACCTAAAAACTTACAATTAGTAATTTTCTCTCTCTTTCTTTTAGCCTTTTTTAAATATTTTGCAGATTTTCGATTCCTTATTATTTAAAAAAAATGTTCACGTTTCCACCGTAGGGAAAAAGTTAGATGATTGACCTCCTCTAAACGGGCAGAAGAAATATAAATTCCGCACCGCGTAAAAATATCTGCATGAAATTCGCATAAACATAAAGCCTCATTGACGCGCGTAAAACAAGACACTGACTTGAGCAAAAAGTTAAATTATTTCAAAAAAGATATCTCATATTTCATTCCAATCGATATACCGATAAATTACTCCGAGTTAAATGCAACGTATACACACAGAATAAGATCCTTGTTAGTGTCGTTCATCTATCTGACATCACGAAAAACAGCAGGCGTAGCAGCATTCCCCGGGATATCTGCCAACCCCGCGACCCGGCACGACCGTTAGACCGGAATCCAAATCGAGGATCAGGATTCTGCAGGCCTCGCGTCGGCCGGGATCGATCCGGGACGCGCAACGGGAGCCCGCAGAGGAAGGAACGGGAGCGTATCGAAAGATGCAGGCTTCGATAATCCTTCAGGGTAGGTCGGTACATCGTGCTCGCCAAGTCTTGCCTATCGAGGTGAGGCGCTCCACGGAAGGGGCATCCGCGTCTCTCTTTCTCTCCTGCACCTCTCGTTCCCGCTTGCCTGCTTTCTCTCACACCATCGTCGTTCTCATTCTCGCTCCTACTCGCTGCCGCGGCCGCGGCCGGCCGGCCGACCTACGTGGAGATGCTCAGGTGTAAAACCGTTGATTGCCAAGGCGCGGTATTTTCTCTTTGTACGGCGATGGTAGCGGTGGGCGTGCCGGGCACGACCGAAGGGAGACGGCCAAGGCCTCCTCATCGCGCGCTACCGCGATTATGTTTATTATACTTGGGCGCGCACGCGTGTGCGTACGTGCGCGTACTTACACGCGTCCCCCGCCGCGCCGTACGTGGTCAAGCATCTTTGTCGCGGATGCGGCGCGGCGTGGGGATGCGCAACGTACCGTACTCGGAGTGAATGGCGAATAGCTACCGTAAAGACGGGCCTTGCCCGTCACAGACTTTGTTTAAAGCCTCGCGGAGGCGACGCCACGCCTAATATACGAGAAAGAGAAACAGAGATCGCGCGCCTGATTGCATGAACTTAGTTTGGAGGATCGCTCGCGCGTAGGATTAACTCTTCGTGCTAACGACCGAGTAGTCGTGTGTGCGGAGGAAGGAGTTTACAAAAGAAACACGTTAACTGAAAGGAGCGTTAACTATAGCATTAATCAATCATCGCATAAATCATATGATTTTATATTTTACTTACGTAACAAGTATATGTATATGGAAAGTTAAAATATACATATTCCTTGCATTGTAGAAAAAGTCTGATATTTGTAATGTTATTAAATACAACCGGAAGTGACGGTCGAGCGAACACTCGCATGTTACCGATTTGTCAACAATCTAAGAGAAATGAGAACGTTCCAGTGAATATTACTGGAAGTAACACCGGAGTATACTCGAGGCGACTCGCTAATCATCCGGCAGGTTCCCTCGTGGCTCTTCGAGAAGAGATCGATCATCGCGACGGCGGTAACGATCTCCACTGCCGTCATCGGCAGCGACGCTCCAGCGACGCGCCGTCGTCGAAGATGAGACTGAGTTAGAATTCCATCGAGATGGAGCCTTGACATTTCATGGCCTGGAATCGACCGGCATAATTGATCGGCCTCCACGGCTCCCATTCGACGAACGACTGTTCCATTCTGTTACAACGAACTGCGTTATATGACCTCGCGCCGAATGACGGAACGCGACCACGTCGACTTCGTAAACTGGATTTCAGTCTTTCGCGGAACGAAAAAGAAGTGGAACCAATTAAATTGGACCATTAGGAGGTCTCGACGCTAAAAGAGGAAGGCACGAAATTCAAGTGATCGCAGTAAAATTCAAAGTCGAACGTGTGCTTGAATTTCATGTATTGTCTACATTATATTATACTCGACGTATAATTTCGACATAATGAATGATTATCGAAAAATAGAGATTACTGTGTTGCAATATTTAAAAAAATTAAATATAACTTTCCAATTATTGATATAATTTTGTTATTCAGGTATAAAATGTTAAGCAACTAGGAATATCATTCAAAGTGCAAAAACGTTTGCGTTATCTAAAATTAACTTTTATAGCGATGCTTTGTGTCATATAATTGTAATGTTCCTTTCAATCTGCCGTCTTGAGATTTCAGCAAGCACCGACGTGAATTTGAAGAATAACGAGAAAAGTACCCGCAATTTTCATGTAAAGTTGACGATACCTATTATTACTACGGGTGCTCCTACAACGCGCTCTGGCTAAACGAATATAAACTCGGCAGCAGATACGACAAACAAATGCCACAGGTGCTGCAATTTTCTGTCGTTAACGACCGGTAGTGTCTTAAACCCGTGTGCAAACGTACCAATAACGGTCGCGCTCGTGCGTACTAAAAATTTTATAGCGTCGCATTTATCGACACGAGAATGGCGTTGGCAAAACCTTGTTTAACAAAATAATGACTACAATTATTCTACTTTACATTTGCCTGTTGTGTAGCGCAAACACGATATCTTCTTGCGAGAGAGGGAGCCGCTTCACCTTAGCAATTTACTACAAGTAATCGTCGATCAAGAAGAGTTATAACTACCGGATTGTCAGCCACTCGCTAGCATTAAAAGTACGTTTTTCAGTTGCATCGGCGATCAGTACGTTACAAGTAGTCAACGTTTACAGGACCTAATTGCCCATTCGTCACAGCTCGTATTACAAATTTTTCATTCCTTATTTCCTTCAAAAAACTAAACGTTTCATAAAGTCAAAGCTATCACGCGTAAATCTATTGTACAAGGTCAAAATAAAAAGAAACACGCTTACGCAACTAATGAAAAAAATATAATTTAAGATAACATGAAATGATCTGTCGCGTCTCTTCACGACTGAAAATGATCGCGTGCGATTCTGTAATCTCTCTTTCTCCTAGCTTCCTTTCTCGCCAATAAAAGAATCATTTAACTCTGATGCGGCGCCCAGGGTGCAACTGTATAGCAAAAGTCGCTCGCGTGGTTCGTGTCTCGACTCGTTTAATTTACATAAACACGTACTCATTGATTGCCGGACCAGATTGTCCGGCGTTATTACTTCTACGACCGGTTAACTTCACCGCAGGACCGCGAATAATCGTTAAGCCCTAATCACTTCGCTACGCACGTAGCACCGACCTCGCCCGATAGATACGTCCGATACGCGTAGAGTTAACTTGGTCGGCCTCCGCATAATCGCTCGAATCAGTGGGACGATGATTTTCACTTCCGACATTCGAGAAACGACGGTTATTACATTACTTTGCTTACATCAAATGTATGGCTACGTTATCGCAACGAATTATCGTGGAAGAAATAGCACAACGACAAATAAATTGAGAATTATATGCGGACTACTGCATAACGATATTTGCTGCATGCGGAAAAAGTACTCACCGAAATGATACGAGAAAGAGCCTCCGCCGTCAGAATAGCCGTTCTTCTCGGATCCTAAAAACAGAAAAGGAGAGCGTTGTAACAGAAGAATCTATTTTACATTAAAACTTTGTAACTTTTGCAATTTTCCATTTTCTCACTTGCACTGTTAGAAATGTTCTTAAATTTCATTAACTTTTAATGTACATTGGTGAATAAAGTTTAATTTCTCTGTAACTGAAAGGACTATTAATGCACATGTTAATGAGATTTAAGTTTACAGTAACTGAAAAAATAAGTGTAATGAAATTTAATATACTGTTCAATTACGGATATAAATGACATTTGATTAATCGTAATTGAAATAACTATTAATGTACATATTAATGAAATTTAATGTACTTTTACATTTACGAATATTAATATTTTAATTAAGCCTAATACTATTAACGCTTAACGTTTAATACGTTTACATGTCATTAACGTAAATTACTTTTCAGTTACAGATCTCGTACTTTTTTCATTAACGTATAAATTAATTTTTATAATAATGTGTTTATTAATTTCAATACACACGTTCATCACATTTAAGACTACTGTAATTTAGTTTTTATTTACATCATTCATTACATTTAATTTCGTGCATAACCACATGCTTCCTTTACATGTTAATTAAAATTCATTGAGAAATTTCTAACAGTGTGTAACAAAAAAATTTAACATTTTTTTCACTTTGCCGCATTTACGATAACTATAATCAATAACTCCCTTTAAAATTTAAAAAGGAATATGAAAAGGCACATCGATCGATCGATTGATCGAATACCACGCGCACTGCAAGCGCTAGATAGCAGTCTGGAGCACCACCCACGAAGCGGCTACTTAGCATGAACGACCAGCCAGGAGGTACCTTCCTCCCTATCTGACAAGGTTAACTAATACAGCTTCCACCGATCGCGCGCGGTCTCTTGATTAGAAATACGTCGATAAATCAGAGAAAGGAGAGACCCGCGGGAGAGCCCCACGCGCATCGGAGATAGCTGCAAAGAAGGAAGGCGAAGAGAAGAAAAGGACGAAGGAGAGACGTAGAACACGGCATTCCGTGTAATTGTCCCGCTTATATGCCCATAGGGTAAAGAATTCGACGTTGAACATAAGTAAAGACGGTTGAGCGGAGCTGTATGAATCAGAGGGATTATTATAGTGGTTGGTGAATAAATCATTGACTAACGTCAATGTTATTTATAAACGCTAGTAAAACGAAAATCAATCATATTTATTAACTACATGATATTCTATTAATACCAGCAAATGAAAATATAAAATTTTATAGTGTAGTTCCATTTATTATGTATTAGTGTGGCTTTAGCGTGAATTATATGAGTATATGAAATCATTTATTATATATAATCTAATTTACTATAAAATAAACATTGAAACCTTTGAATTATCTTATTACGATATTTCTTTTCACAATTGTGTTAGCAGAAATGAGTGCTTGTTGCACCCGCGTTTCATGTAAGCGCAGTTCGCGCTGCCGTAACGAGATAATTAAATAAATATAATCAAAGATAAACGTGCGCTCCTCAAGTAACCGTTTAATTGGATGTTACGCCTGTCAAAACACGTTGCTTCCGCACAATGCTGCGCGCTGCTGCGTCAAATTAGCAAGAAGGGAGAAATCCAAATATCTGATTTTTCTTACCGTATATATTTTTAAGTGAAAAGAGAAAAGTAAACAATTAAGATTACGTTATCGAAAATCTCTTACCTTTATATCGATTTGGGAGGAAACCGAAATCCCAGTCAAGGCTGAACATGCTCATCAAGAATATATGTAGTATCACTGTACACTGATATCGATTCACTTCTATGCGAAGTATAAAATCAATACACACGTCGAAATATCCCAAGACGTTTATAGAAATAAACTCAAACAGTAAGTCACTTAAATGAACACATGAAATTCTTTAAGCTTGGAAAAATTTGTGTGAAATGATTCATATCTTCTCTAGATACCTATAATATATATTACATTATTATATAAATATAATAACATAATAGCTGTATTTCAAATTTCACTAACAGTACTGAAAATTTATAGTGCAAGTAAGATACATTTTTTTAGCGCTAACAGTGAATTTCATATATAGTATATATAATATATATATATGTATATATACAATGTATTGTAGATAATATGCGTCACGTCACAACAAATTCTTTATTAATAAATTAGAACTTATAAAATATCTTTTTTAATAATATTATCTACAAATCCATGTACTTTATATAATCGAAATGATTATCTATTTCGCGATAAAGGCAACATATCTGATTAATGTAATTTCACCGCGATTATTACTGACACAGGTCATTTTCGTGTTTCTTCCGCCGTTTTTGTTTTCTTTTTTCTTTTTTTCTCATCGTCCGCGTTTCTCGTCATCGCGGCGTACACAGGACGAACGCATAATCGCGCCGGCCTGGAAAGGCCGACTCGACTGCGATCGCGCGCAGTCGAGATTCCGCTCGTTCTTACGCGGCGAGAGCATATATACGAGAGGCCATAGATTACTGTTTTATGCCGCGATGAAACTATCTCTAGGCTAGGTGCGGCCTGGCACGTTCGCCTGCCCAAGCCGACGAAAAGGAAAAAGCCACCGCAGATTTCCCTCGCACCTCTACACGGAACCGTTCAGCCGCGGCGGCAAGCAAGCTACGCTTCGTAACGCTCCGGGCCGCGCGCAGGTACCATTGGCGGCACAGCGATTTCGAACTTAAACTTAAGACCTTACAAACGCGGTTGCGTTCCTTTATCACGATGGTTTTGCCATCACGCCGCTAGAAAGGAACGCGGCCTCGTGCACTTACCCGCGGATCATAAAGCACGCCGTAACCGGCGTACTATTCGCACGACGTGCCGTAAGTCTAGCCGATATCCGGAAAACGGTTCACGAGGCCGGAAAATGTAGAGGAAAGTCACCCATACCGACATACTACTTTGTTTTTAGACAATATTTCTTAAACAAAAGATAAAAATAAACCTTTAAACATACAAGTACAAACCAAAAATTGTCTTCCGTCAGATAGTACAAGCAGTTTTTACAATACTGTTTGCAATAATTAATTTTTTCTTAAGGTAAGCAAAAATAAGCGTCTGACAAAATGGACTCCAAAACTGACACAGTAGGCAGTAATGCTACGTATTCCTATTCTTTTTCTTTTACAGGAATTATCTGTATAAAATATTTACAAGTGAATGTATACAAGATATTCCAAAATCTTTCACTTTGTTACAAAACATTTTTATTAAATTATATGCATATTTACTTTATGCTGTTCTGCAAGATGCAAATATGTAACGAGACAGTTTTTCAAGAGTATTTCCATATATGCACGGTTTTTTTCAGCTTCGATATAGCTATTTGACACTATAAAGTGACATTATAAAGATAAAGTTAGCTCATGATTTGTTTTACGGACAGGTGTGGCGGTTTACACTGCACCTCAATTTTTAATTTAAAATCGTATTATAAAAAACCTAATATTAAAAAAATGATATAAATAAAATTGATTTAGGAAAATACAAGCATTTAAAATGACGTAATATTATCAATAATATAGTTACTATTATATGAATTAAGCAATTTTCAAAAGAAAATTGTAAGAATTTTATTTTCGCATTCGCAGAATTCATTTTTAGCTGATTTGGATAGAAACAAGTCACAAATATACGACTTATGAGTTTGTACTTGTTTTTAATTAGCTAAACAGATTATGATTTTAATAGTATTAATAAAACGCAATAGTTAGTTTCTGAGAAATAAGAGGGTGTAACTTTAGGAGACCTATATCAGTATCGACGACTTTTCTCTATAAATGTTTAACTTGGCGAAAAAAACTGATTTTCGTTATGCGGTTGAATACATTTCTAATTTAAAAAGCATTAAATATAAACAAAGTTTTCTTCATCAGATGTTAAAATTTCTAAATCATAATAGTGATGAAAGATTGATAGACGGTAAAATAATAATACTTCTTTTGTTTATTTAAGAACTAACATTCTAACATAGTACATAATGCTTTACTTAAATTTTACCGAGGTAATATAATTTCGCCAATTAGACGATTCGATGTATCACTTAAAGTCGATCATTTAAACTATCATCAACAATTTACAATTTTAATTATGGCGAAATACTGATGCGTAATACCATACGGTTTTTAAACGAGAAATCCATTTTACGAAACAAGTACAGTTAGATCAATCGATCCGTGAATTCCAGTGCAAAAGAAAACATGTCGAGGGAACGAAACGCGTCCGTCTCTCCCGCATAGCTCTATACGACCGTGAAACAATCGAGTTGCGAGAACGATCACTTGCAATATAATGGGATTTTCTTTTATACCATGACTCACGCGCCTTCGCACGGTCCGGTATCGAGAAAGAAAGGAATTAGAGCGAGCACAAATGATCGACGTTCCCGTAAAATTCGCCCTTCGCCATTCGCCCTCTCGCCACTCTCGTATATTCCCGTTAATAAGGAGTTTTTAGTACCTGCTCGCGCGTGTCATGCACACGGGACACCGATCCCGATCCCGATGTCCATTAACTCGGCAAAAAGCCCGAAAGGAGAACGGTGTCCACGGTTATACCGCAAACAATTATATTAAGCTCGCAGATCGTAAAGACAATATTCTCGCGGCTCGCGCAAGACTGCCCGATCATTTTCCGCATGTTAACCCGCACCCGTTTGCATCCCGTAATTCTGTATAGATCTCACGATTTTTGTTAGACTCATCGCGTGCGGATTTCATCAGTGACTTCAAAATTGGTCTTCGTAATATTTGTTTTTGCACACATTATAATTCCTTTATTCTTTTATTGTATTTCAATCAATAGCACATTATTTTTATTATTTTTATTTTATATTCTTACGATTATTTTAATAAATACTAAGAGTTTTAAGAATTATTTACAAATTTCCAAGGTTTCTCGAACAACTTCGAAATCCTCGAATATAATTAAGATTTATATCTTTTTCGATTAAAATTGATTGCGGTCGAACAAGGTC